AGAAGTATAACTTAGAAGCATGAAGGGCCAAACTAGGCAAGAAAATAAAAGTTTTATTTGGGAATTCATTGGGGCTTGTGTGTGTTTGTTTTTAATGGCTGGCAGGCACAGGGTAAAGGTTATCATTGTGGCCACACAGCATGTGGAAATGGAACTTGAACCCTTCAATTCCCAGTGGCTATTTGCTCTGTGCCTTTCTTCCGGAAGAAAAGCTCCCTTTGGAGCCAATGGATAACCCTCCCCTCCCTGCCTGATGGAAACTGGGAATTAAAACACCACCGCCCTGGTGCGGGTCTGAGTTATGCATCTATCATAGTTTATTTGACCCTAAATATTGATATTTTACTGTCTGAATCACTGGCCTCACATTGTTCTCTGCTCAAGACTTGATATCTTGTGCATAACCATGTTCATATGAAGAGCTGTGCTGGATCAAGGCAAAGGCCCATTTGGTTCAGGTTTCTGCTTCACAGAATGGTCACCCAGGTGCCTCTGAGAATCCCACGGTCAGGCCACATAGGAAATAGCCACTGTTTGTGCATTCAGAGACAGGTACTCGAAGATACAGCCTCTAGAGAGGTTTGTTCAGCTGTCAGGGCAAATGGGTGGCGACTGATCCCCCTTTGAAGCCACCTGAGCTTGTCTCCACCACCAAAACTTGAAGCAGAGAATACCATACATTAGTAATGTGTTATGTAAAGAAGTAGGGGCAAATTGTGGGGTGGGAGCGTGACCAAAATCTACTGGCCATAAAGTTCACTGATCCCAAATACTCCCTGTATTATAAGGCTGCTGAGAGAAGTGAGATTTCTTTCTACTCTGACCATTCCATGCCTCATTTTACAAGCCACTAGAACAGATGTGCTTCACCTGATGCCCTCCAGATGCTTTGTCTACAGTTTTAATATTTTAATTGGCCATGGTGGTTGGTGCTGGTGAGAGGTGAAGTCCTAAACATCTGGCAGGCACTCCACTGGGGAAAGCCGTTGTAGCTTGGTTTCTTCTTCGTAAGGGAAAAAGCTGGAAATGTTCTGCCCCGGCTTCTGGAGCTCTGCAGAAGTGTTGCGCTGCAGCTCTCATCACTGCCAGCCAGCATGGCCATTTGGGGGATACCAGACAAGGGAAGGCTGATTCAGCCTTTCCTCAAATGAAAGTCTGCTAACAGCCTGCTTGCTTCAGGTGCCTGTTTCAGCTCCCCCGTTTCCAGTTGTATTCCCAGGGTAGCCAGGGCCAGCCCAAGGCATGTTGCTGCCTGAGACGGAGGAGGAAATAGAGCACCCTCATTCCACCTGTGGAAGCCAAGGGGACTGGCAGCTGGATCTCACTCTCAGTTGTGAGAGGACGGCATCCTCCAACGCACAGCGTTAGACTCGGTAAAGCGTTCCAAGCTACCTGACAAACTGGGCCTGGTCCTCTGCCACATCAGTGCTGCCCACCTGTTGGCTGAGGCAGATGCCTCACAGTAGGACTGGCCCTAAGTGTAGCCACAATATTGAATTAAATAAAAGCTTTATGAAAGTAGCCACTTTATTTTTCAGGACCTATCATGGAATTTACCTTTCTGTACCATGGACATGTTCACTGAGCTAACCCTTATACCCCTATGATTTCATTCTGTATTAGTCATTAGTCAGTTCAGATCCTATCAGTACCTATGCAAAGTTACACTGTTTTGACATATGCATTAGTTTGCACGTTGGATTGTCTTTGCCATATGGTTGCCTGTTTGCTTTGATGTCAATTAGAGCTTGCTTCCCAATATCAATAGCAAGTCAGGCAGTGGGGGAGATTTTCATTGGGAATACCATAGTAGTGGAAAACTTGCCTCTCCCTGAGCTTCATATCCTTACTTCTAATTGCTCCTTGTGCCTGCTGGTTTTGAGATTTTAAAACAGTCTTGTTAAATGCCTCAGCACACTTAACCTGACATGCGGTTTGGTCCAAAATGCCTGTCGGACTGCTGACATACTCTTAGTGTATCTTTGTTGTAAGTGCCAAAAATATATTTGTGTCATAATGAATGAATGGCAAATGTAATTGCCCTTTTTATGTTGTTGACTTAACATGACATAACATAACATAACTTTTTATGTTGTTGACATAACATGTACAACATGAAAGGTTGTACAATTTGTTCTGAGAAGTACTCAATATTGACTGATCTTGGAATATATTAGGCATCAACTGAGAAAGCAGTTATATAGATGAAGAAATGTGTCTAAGAACTAGTGACAGAATTGTCTAAGTATCATGGCAGATGGAGGGTAAAGAGAATAAGAACATTGGACTGAAGCAGCCTCTCTCCTGACTGTAGGAGTAGTCAGGAAAGTTGGATAATGTAAGGTTTCCCCTCTGATTATCTATATTTTTGCTTTGTTTGGTGGAAGGCAGTTGTGTGTGTCTTGTTACTTTATTTTGAGGCTTGTTTTTAGCTTTTTTGGGGTGAGGAAACAATGTGCAACCTTAAAGCAAAGCAAGGAAAGAAAGAAAGTTTCATAGGTTTTCTGTATGGCATCAGTCTGTTTGGCCAGTCTGGGGCACAGTCTGATAGGCTTGCGGGGTATAACCAGATGTAAGTAATGTTTACTGGTCTAAGAGTTTAAATTGTATGATAATTATGAATTTAAATTGTGAGTTTATTTTGGCAGCTGTATAGGCTGATGTGGAAGCCACCTATGAGACAAAGCCAGCCAAGATCCGGAGGGCAGTGCCTGTTAATGTGTGCTTTCAGGACATGGGGATGGGACACGGAGGTGCTTTCCCAGCTGTTTGTGGCTGTGTCTTCCTTCCTCATGTGGAAGTCTAAGGATGCAACTTGAAAAATTCATCAGAACATCTTGTCCAAGGAATCCGAGTGAACCATCAGTTTAATTTGCTATCTCAGGGTGCTTTTTTAATTAAGATAACTTGTTTTTTCTTTGCAGCATCCACCTGTAGTGGACTTTCCCAAGATTGAGGGTCAGTATCTGTCCTCCGGCCTGTGTTCAGTTCTGCTATAACTTACTGCTAAGCTAAGTGCAATGTATCGTGGTCACTCTAAAAAACATTTTGATGACCTCAGTGGCTGGTTGTGATAAATCTGACTTGCACACATACGGCAGTATTTTTCCCTTGTTTATTTAGACTACCTTACAGCTGCTTACTAACATTTTTTCATGTTTTGAGTTATCTGCACATGTAAAGCCAAAACTTCACATCACAGCTTAGCTGGAGCTGGAATATTTAGAATTCTGGTCACATATGAGAATTAAAAACAAGGAGGCACCTGTGCAGTAGAGGGCTGTATCTGTCAGGGATTCATTAGACAATGAATAGCCTAAAAGTGACTGATTCTAAAAGGCACAGCGTAAGATTGCAGATACACGTCATCAAACAATGCACCAAAGTGTGTGTTTACATCTTAGAATGCTCATGTTCAAAAAAGATCAATGGTTTATATATTGTATCGGATCTTATATCAGTCTATGACATGCATCCTATGACTTGAGTGTAAATCCAGATACTGCTTTCTCATGAATTTCTGAAATAAAAATGGACTGAAAGTACTGTAACTATCAAGTATTTACTAGCTCATGGACTTCCACTTAAATTATTTCGAGCTTTGTGACATCTTTTGGTAGAGCATAACAAGGGCAGGGGTGTTTTGTTATGCTATCCGTGTGCAGTGATGCACTCCCAACATGTCAGTCTGTTCTTGTCTTGCAGCAATTATTTTGTTTGGCGAACCAGTGAGATGGGAGACAAACCTGCAGTTGATAATAGATGTTCTTTTGACAAGCGGCTATCCTGGGAATCCATATCCTCAGGGGACTTACCCACATACTCCTGTGCTGGCCTGTAATATGGATCTGATGTGGGCAGCTGAAGCTCATTCTCCACGGTGAGGCAAAAATACGCAAGTGTTGTGAATACTTTGTGTGGTTTCCCCCCCACCCCCCTTGGCAAAAGTAGCAAGGAATGGCTGTTTAATCCAAAGAACTTTCACTAAGGGTCTCGGCATATGCCACAGACAAAATATTCATGAACAGTTGTAAAATTCCTGGATTCAGGATAGAACCCCATTGATCTTGAATGCTCACTTTACATCTGAGATGAGCATTATAATTCCTGAATTCTTAATTCTTCAGCTTGGATTAAAAACAGAGCCAGAGAAAAACATCTTCCCTGCAGTCATGCACACATTTACCCAGCTGTGGCTCTGTCAGCAGCAGGGAAGGAGATCTAAGCCCAATTATGAACCAGAAATGGAACTTGTCACACTTCCACTGATGCCCACGAGGCATCATGGGAAGATTCTTGCCATGGAAATGCTCCAGGCCCTTGAGAAAGAGGAACTGGGAGGCTTCCCACTGGTGCAACCACCCTTGCTAGGGGAGGGCGGTTGAGAGTTCTAAGGTGGGTACAAGAAATGGATCCAATCCCGCTGCTTTCCCACTGCTCTCGGAAGCCTGACAGTATCTGATTTTGGTTTGTAATTGTGTTCAGAGTGAATTGATCTTTTTTTCTGATTCACAAGTGACAGGGATAGTTCATTTGTCAAGCCCAGGGGCCGGCAACCTTAAACATTTGGACCCGTTTCCCACAGAAAAGAAAACACCGGGAGCCACAAAACCCTTTTGACATCTAAAATGAAGATAACACTTTATATATCTTTTTTTACCTTTATGCTATGTATTAAAAAAAACTGTAGTGTGTTGCATTTATGAAATCAATGAACTGCTACAGAGAAAACAAATTTTTATTTCTGCATGCAACAAAAACATTTTGAACTCCAAAAAAAAGATGCTGGGTTGAAGGTTACTTTCAAATAAAATAATGTCTATTTGAGTCCTCCTCATATTTATAAAAAGCTGAACTTAAATTATGATTTTTGCTCAGATCAACCTTCCTCATCAGTTCTGAAATGGCTTTTTTTCTCTCCATCCGGATATTTTTCAGCAAAGGCTGTGTATTTATTCTGGAAATGTCTTGCAACAGTCAACTTTTTGTTGTTTGCCAATTTCTGACCACATATTAAGCATACTGGTAAACCAGTCTCTTCAGCAGTGAAAGCAAATGAATCTGCCCACATACCATTAAACGTTCTGTTTTCTTCTGAAACTTTTCTTTCCTTAGATTTATCCATGGTTGGCCTACCAGGGGTTGAAAACCTCAGTAAATCGTGTGCTGGTGGGTGTCGCACATTGGCGGTTGTGACACATATTTTGAGTGACAGGGAGCCGCAGCAGAGGGATGAAAGAGCCATATGTGGCTCCGGAGCCACGGGTTGCTGACCCCGGTCAAGCCAATTGTGAATTGGGTGTGAAGTGGATGCCCAATGTACAGAATATTTGTACATTGTTTTTCTGTGTGAAAGTGCAATCCTATGTACATTAAAACTGAAAACATAACCTACAATTGGATGGGGAATGCTGGGACTTTTTCCTTTGTAAACACGCATAAGATCTCACCCTTTTAAAAGTATTTTAAAAGGACACACCCACAAACACACAGACTCAGTTGTGGCTTATTTAACTCACAATAAGCTGTAGTGCCTGTTCATGCCATATCCAACCCCCTCCCAAGGAGGGGCATGTTGTACAAACCTAGCAAGGGTTATATAAAGGTTGGCCACCCATATTCACCAGGTTTGCATGATACAACAAGTGTCAAGCATTTTTATTATATAGCAAAAATTATATAACTCCCCCCAAATGCATCCTGCCCATGGCTTAAATAATGGCAGGCTGTCACGTTGTATGATCAGCCCAGACTAGAAACCAGGTTGAATTCAGATCGAGTTGAATTTAGCTGCTATTGAAGTGATGGGATTTAAGTTCTATTAGCATAATCCAGATCTGACCCATAGTCATTTTTACCCTGACTAGCCAAGAGAGATTCATCTGTGTCCTTGGCATTAACTAAATGAACCCTTGTAAACATTGTGGAAGAAGTTACCTAGCCCCATTTTTCTTACTGTTGAAAACATGCAAACAGGAGATAAGGAGATCTGAAAGAAGCTGAATAATTCTTTGGATCTGTCTTCACAGTTGCAGATTCAGAACAGATATCATTCTTGAACTTACGTATTCAGAAGAGAGTCTGAGGAATTAAAGCAGATAGGAATGGCAAAACATGAAATTCTCAATCGCATTGATAGACTGAAGGTTAATAAGGAACTCCAGAATTGATACCACTGGGCCCAGATGGTGTCCATTCTAGAGTGTTTAAAGAGTTCAGATATGAAAATGCTGACCTTCTTAGAAGAAGATGCAACATATCTTTAAGCAGTGGTGCCCTGGATCAATATTTTCATCAAGCTCTCCACCCCAACCCCAAGATCCCTTTCTTGATCAGGTACTGCTAGCTTGTATCTCATCTACCTGTTCTTGACACTGGATTTTCTGCTCCAAGATGCATTAACTTACATGTACTTACATTGAACTGCAATTGACATTTTGATGCTCATTCCCCCAACGTGGAGAGATCCCTTTGGAGCTACTCACTGTTCATGTTGGAAGGAACAGTGTCTCCCACTGGATTGCCCCTGTCCCTGTGTTTATTGACACTCTCAAATAACTGTAATAGGTTGGTTAGATAGGACTTACCTTTGCTAAAACCAGTTTGGTTATTCCCCCAGCAGGGCTTGTTCCTTTGTAGGTTTACTGATTTGTCCTTTAATACTGATTTCAGTCAATTTTCTCAGAACAAACGGTAAGCTAACTGACTAATTTCCTGGCTCTCCTTTTAAAAACTGGCCATTACATTGGCCATTCTCCAGGATGTAGTATTGACCACCAACATGGATGGCTTAAAAAGGGGCTTGGACAGATTTATGGAGGAGGCGGCTCTCAGTGGCCACTAGCTTGCTGGCTATGTGCTACCTCCGTTATCGAGGTGGAATGCCTGCATAACGTCAGTTGCCGAGGAGCTTGGGCAGGTGAAACTCTTGCACCCGTCCTGCTTGAAGGATCCTGTGGGCAGTGAATAGGCCACTGCTAGATTGGATGGACCACTGATCTGATCCAGCATGGCTCCTCTTGTGTTCTTACATGGCTGAACAGCTACTGGTACTCCTTGGCATTTTTCCCCACAGAGAAGAACAGCATTTAGTGCTTGCTAGACGCTGTGCAGGCAGGTGGGTGGAAGACTGAACTTGTTTCATTTTGCCTTATACTGTATGTGACCAGAAAGTAAGAATTCAGGCAAATGGGGGTCTAGGTCTTTTTCTTTGTTATGATGAATTTGTATCCTGCCTGATAATTTCTTCTCAGAAGCTTTTTTCCTGTATATTTCAGATTCGGGCATGGAACATTCATGGTCTGTCTGGAAAACATTTACAAAAAGATTACTGGCAAAGAGCTGAAATACGAGGCTTTGATGGGAAAGCCCAGTGAACTGACCTATCACTATGCAGAACGCTTGATCAGGACCCAGGCAGCTGCAAAGCACTGGAGAAAACCTATTCAGACGCTGTATGCGGTCGGGTAAGAGGCTTCTCATCAATGAGTATTTCTATTCCCAACAGCAGCAAAAGGGATCGGATCATATTAAGGAGCTATCTCTTTCTTCCTTTCTTTGCAGTTCTGTTAAGGAGGAAAGGGAACATTTTGTATAGGGTATTGCCACAAAATTAAAGACATTTATAGAATAGAAAGAAAGACTGTAATCGTCCCATGAAAACACGTTGAAATGTATTTGTCAAAACCATTATTTATCTTGGAAGATTGTAGTCGGGCTAGGCAGCCAATCGGTGCATGGATCTGCCCCACACACACAAATGCTACACCAGATGTTAGCAACTTGTAGGCCAAATCATCTGGAGGGGCACGATTCCTATCAGTACGAGGCAGTATTGACAGAACATCTGGAGAACCACAACTTGCTTGGCTCTGACCTACACAATGTGAGACTGCCACTGAATTTGAAAACATCTTTTTAAATCATCTTAAAGAGGAGTCACTAACCAACAAATCACCTGCTGGTATTTGCTTAAGCAGTGCAGCCCAGTTCTAGGCATTTTTACTCTAAATATCTCTCCAAGTTCAGTGGGACTTGTTCCCACCTATTTGCTTAAGTCTGCCTTTTTACTTCATGTAGTTGTGCTATGTGGCTTTTGCATTTCTGATTTCACACCTGCACTATGCCTTGAAACAACTACCTGAAATTCTGAAATAACCGATTCTTCCATTTCTAAAATATGTGCAACCTTGGCTATATGGGTTTAGGGGCAGGATGTGTGTGAACAGTATAGATGGTTCTTGTGTGCTAGCACTTGCAAACCTGTAGTGAGTCTGCACTTCCTAATATTGTTGTGTTTGTGGATTTTTTACTTCATTATTGTTTATTGCGCTGAAGAATGCTGTGCAAGCATTCCATGAGCCAGGTTGAAGCTTGTTTCTCAAAAGGTAATAAGAAACCTGTTTGCAGTTCCCTGGGCTTTGGGCCTGCAGTGCTGCTAGATCAGGAATACAATGTTCAGAGAAAGTGCAGACATTTTATTTATTTATCACTACATTTCTACCCTGCCTTGTTTGCTCTTGCAAGGACCCCAGGGGGGCTCTGGTCATCCTCGTCTCCATTTTATCTTCTCAATGGCTCTCAGAGTTAAGCTGGGCTGGTAGTCAGTGACTGGCCCAAACTCGCCCAGCAAGCCTCGTGGCTGAGTGGGGACCAGGTTTCCCAAGTGCCAGTACAACACTGTGACCGCTAAGCCATTGTCAGCATCCAGGGCATGGGCAGCTGGGTATCAGGTCAGGGCACCAGGACCCAGGCAACCAGTACAGTATACAGGCCCATTCCAAATCATAGTCAGGCAGTCCAGAGATCAAGGCGGGTAACAGAAGTGCAAGGTAGGCCAATCCGAATAGAGCAGAGCAGTCAATGCCAGTCAGGAGTCAAAAGCCAGAGAGACAAGCCAAGGAGAAGCAGACGCCTGGGACTGGAGCAGGTGAAGCTGGGCATGGTCCAGAAGGAGGAGCAAGGCAACAGGCAGTTTCCAGAAGCAGGTTCCAGAAGGCACAGGGCACTCCAACAACATCAAGACCCTTTGTTGCTAAGACAGCATCTGAAGGGAAGAGCCAGTTCTTCCCTCAGGGCTCCCAGGTGGTGCTCGTAACATCCCAGGTGGCTGTGATTGATTGAGGGCCCAGTGCTGCAACCACCAGGGCTGCTATCCTGCTCTCTGGCCAGAAGAGGGAGCCCTGGTGCTGCCTCAGAACCTCACAGCCGTGCTGGATTTACACAGGCAACTCTCTTGAGCCTTTAGGCTGCCATAGGCAGATAACAGCCTTTCCTACCTGCTGAAATCATCTCCAGATCACGATGGCCACTGTTGTAATAATCACTAAAATGGTAAATTCTTCTAATGTTGCCTCTGTCAGGATAACCATTGCTGTTCGCCTAGAATGGGCTAATCCTGATGTACCTTTTCCTGGTTTTCTAGGGATAACCTAATGACAGATATTTATGGTGCTAATCTTTACAATCGCTACCTTGAAGAGAAGAGCTCTAGAAGAGGTCCCAAGGCGCGCATCCAGGCTAAAGCTGCAGGTGGCACAAACTCTGCCACTGTCTCTCAGGAAGACGATCTTGAGAACACTTGGGAAAGTGAACTAGCCTCTGCCACTGCCACAAACTGTAGATCCGTCCTTGTTTGCACTGGAGTCTTCAGTCCTCATACAGGGGTGCCCTCGGATACAAGGGGGATTATAACTGAGACTGCGTTTCATGGGCATCGAGATTTCAGGTTTGATCCTGCTTTAGTGGAACCAGACCACATTGTGCCAGATGTTGATGCTGCTGTTGACCTAATCTTCCATCTGGAGAATTTTGCGCCAAGTGGAAATTGAGAACTTCCTGATTACTTGTTTGACATTTAACATTTTTCTCCTTATGAAAAACCAACAGGGGCACTTAGTATCACCTATTCCTTAATGTGTGTTCGTCTTTCTGTGCAGCGCTTCTAATACACTCCTATTTGTTCTAACAGCATTTCCTTTAATATCTTAATTTCTGCACTCTGACTTTCTTTAGTATCCGATAATTTGTTATGAATTGTACTTTCTGTATATATTTCTACCTTCACTGTCTAGCCTAGTGGGTTCAGTCCAGGGCTCTGAGTAGCAAAGAGGTGCACCCAATGTGTTCAGAGTCTGAACATGTGCAGCACCTGTGCTTTGGAAACACGCACTGTTTCTATGTCGATGCAAAGCTCTGTTCTTCAGGGATCGCAGCATGCCCCTCTGCAGTATCCTCCTCATTCTTGCTGCCATTCGTATATTCCCCTGGACTCCCTGTCTGTCCTGCTGCTTCCTTATGGAAAGATGATCCAGAGCACTGGGAGGTGCAGTCCAGGGGTACTGTCCATTAACCCGGCATGTCAAGCCACCTTTGCTAAGTTGGAAGGATGTGGGCCTGCAGCCAGGTGGGTGAGCACATGCAGAAGTGGAGCAAGGGGTTGATGGCCCCTTCCAAAGGCCCCCTGATGGCCTTATTAGGCCCCTTCCAACTATTCTATCTATTCCTATTCTATTCTATTCTATTCTATTCAAGTTGCATTTGTGATGCTCCCTTGTAGATTTCCATTTGTGCTCCACTAGCTGAGTTTATAACCAAACTGACGGATCCCACAGAGGTGCCCTTGAGTATCATCCACCAAATGTAGGTTTGTTCAAAAACCTATGCTTTGAAGTGGGTGGGCAGGAACAGATAGAAGTTGCTCAAATCCCACTTACTTGTGAAAGCTTTTTGGAAGAGTTTCTGTTAGACTTTGCGCCTCATCTAACTGAATTCTTCATGAAGTCTTAAATCTTACACTGAAGATTTATTCATTCCTGTGTGTCTCTTGCTTTGGATTGCAGAATGTCCAACATCTGTTTGAGTTGTTGGTTTTAGCCTAAGTCCAAACTGCAATTGCACACTTGATCAAGCCTGCCAGGAAGTACCCCCTCCCTCTCCCCCTCCTCTAATTATCGCTTTTGTTTTTAAGGGTTATATATCTCGTGCACGTAAATTTTACTTAATGAATTTCTCCATTTTATGAAACATGTTGTTTGATTCAAAGAATCATGCCCAGTAAAAAAAAATAATCCTTTTTAAAGGACTCCCATAGATCTTTGGTCAGTATGTTTCAGTATGTATCGTGAATGATAAAGCATTTTATATGCTTTATCATTCACGATAGCCAGACTTTCAAATATTGGATCAGTAAAGATGGATGATGGTGATTCTTGTGCACCTCCCTAACTTTGAATTTGGAATTCATAGTTTAAAATATCCTGGGTACTACAAAAGTAGAGTTTTAAATAAGTGAGAATTCTGCCCAGAGCCAGATACAAACAAATTTTGTTAGAAACAAATTTTTAGCCACTTGCCCATATGATCATAAGACCAGTAATAAGAAATATAGAAAGCTGAAGTGTGTGGTTTTTAAAAGTGATAGCTGTGCAAAATCCGCTCTAACACATGTTGGTCTAACCCAGGGGTCGGCAGCCTTTAACACTCAAAGAGCCATTTGGGCCCGTTTCCCACACAAAAGAAAACACTGGGAGCCACAAAACCCTTTTGACATCTAAAATGAAGATGACACTGCATATATCGTTTTTTAGCTTAATGCTATGTATATCTTCATTATGATTTAGCTGCAGCTCTTGCTCAGTCATTAAAAACTGTTATTTTTAATCTTACATTAGAAAGTAATAGGACTCCTTTCATATACTTTGAATAGGAGAACAGCTTCCTGAAGAGTCAAAGTCAGTGCTAAAGGGCTGCATGCATTAAACAGCAAACCCCATAAGTTCGTCAGCAGTAAAAGCAAATTAATCTACCCACGTATCATTAAACATTTGGTTTTCTTCAGAAACTTTTCTTCGATTTATCCTGTGGCTGTGCCAGAGATATAGGTGTGTTTAGTGACTGATTAGCAGATAAACAGTCAAGTGCTGTGAATTGTGACAGGTCCCAAGCACAGCTTTTAACATTCAGATGAAGGAGATTACATTGGGACAAAGAGAATCTTGTCAGTAGGGTTTCGTGTAACATGAGAGCCTGCAGGAAGCTTGTTTAGTAGAGGAATGTAGCGATTTACTTAACTAGCTGATTTACTTAACTAGCTAGTGCTGTGTTCCTGAGTGGAGCTTCGAGCAGATCAGCGGCTGAGCGACGGAGCCGCAGCAGAGGGGTTCAAGAGCCACGTGCAGCTCCGGAGCCACGGGTTGCTGACCACTGGTCTAGATCCTTCTGCAGAAATTTATTTTCTGTAGTTTTAAACCACCCGCAAAAGTTTTTTCTGTTTTACTTAAATACATTAGGGAAAAAAATCAATATTAAAAACCAGAACAGCACAATATCAAAGGTAATGAACTGTGTGAAGAAGTACGTCTGTCTGTCCTGCATTTCCTACTTATTTATTGAATGACCCTAACTTCTAGTAGATTTGAGAGAGAGAAATGCTTCCTTGCATAACTGTACCTACTTCTGTCATGTTTCCCTTTACTCATTCTTTTCTACACTCAAAAATCACAAATGTTGCCATCTTCCCTCTAGTGCCCTGGTGCACCTTTGCCAGGTGTACAATATCCTTTTGGAGATGCCGGTACAGAACTACAGGTAACATTCCAGATGGCATTGCACCATAGATCTTCTGAAAGGCATCACAATATTGCTGGTAATCTTCTTTTCTGTCCCTTTCACAGCATGGGAGTCTTGCTTTTTCACAAGAGTCACACACAGGCTTAACTTCATCATTGAGTTATCCTGCTCACTCCATTTTGAAAAAATCCTTTTCAGAGTTCCTTGCAATTCCTTTTAATGTTTACAGCCCTAAATACTAGGCTATTTCACTGCTCACCTCTTAATTCCATGTTATTTAGGAACAAGTTGAAAAGCACAAGTCCTAATCTATACCCTGGTCTTAACATTTCTTCCTTGCAATACTCTGGGCATTTGTTCTTATGGGGTTGGTTCACACGGGACAAGCAACCCTCTGTGGTTACTACAGTTCACAGTTTTTACCATGATCTTCCCAGCACACAAGTGATTTCTTCATTATTGTGGTCTCCATTGTCCCTACTCTCTTCCTGCTGTTGACACATATCCTATCAGCCACCATGCCTAAAATTTAATACCAACGAGTTCCATGACTCACTGTCTACATCACCTGCCTGTTCCTCATTTGTCCATATGTCTTCTACTAGGCAGTAGAGACTGGATGGCTGGAGAGGCTCCTAGCGTAGTCACCTTTTTTAGGCGACTCTGTGGAGGTTACCCAGCAGAACCCTGGGAACCAGAACCCTAGGTTCAGACAGTGCAACAAGCTATGGTAGTATGGCGAAACCATAGAAACAACTGTTGTTTCTTGTCATGGTTTTTAAAGCTCCGGCATAGCCTGGTGAAATGCCATAGTTCAGTTCAGACAACATGACAAACAGATGATAGTAACACATACACAGAAAGAGAGAGTTTGTCATGTCTGAACCCAGCCATCAGTTTTCTTTTCTTAAATTAACAATCCATAGGAGGATATAACTTCTGTTCCCATGACTGCTGAGTTTAGCAGTTCGGTAAGTGTGCCAAACACTTCTGAAAGTTCAAGTCCACAGTGTCTGCAGTGTCCTCTGAATCGGCCCATCCACATGACATTCAATTCTGAAAGTTTAGTGAGAGGGTTTGCATTACAAAACCCAAGCTGAGTTTTCTTCAGCAAGACAAGTGTTTTTATAAACTTTCCAACAGCTTACCCAGAACAGATGTTAAGTTAATAGCATGTATTGTCTCTATCCTCACCTCCAGATCCCATTTTTAAAATTGCATTTTTACAAAGTTACATTGGCCACTTTCCTTTCAAGGTCTGGAGGCCAACCTTGGAGAAAAGTTACACATTATGATTAGAATATCAGCAGTTTCATATTGGCTGGACATGTACTGGATGCAATGATGTTGTTTTTCTAATTTGTTTAAATTAAATTTGACTTCAACACAGTGAAGTTTTATTGTATTATGTTTTAATTACTGGGAAGTATTTTGTTTTTAAAATCCACCACAGCACATTGAGAAGCCCCCTGTTCAATTAAAGAATAAAGAAAAAGTAGGATAAATCCAACAGAAAACATTTGTGGGCGGTGAGATAGGGGATGTAGTATAGGGGAGGGAAAACTCCAGCTGTCCATACTGTTCATTTGGCCCAAAGGACACTCTTGGATACAATCCAGAGATTTGCTCCAGGTGGCAGAAGGTCCCGTTTTGGTCTAGGAGCTAGACTGGAAAGCTCATAGGCTGAATGCTTACCAAAAGGGTGGCGTCCCCTCGCCTCTATGACATGGTGCTTGAGTGACCCAAGTCGTGAGTGACACATTTAGATGGGTTGCAAAGGCTTGCTCAGGAACCAGACAGATGAGTACTCACAATAATACTGTTCATATTGAGAATGTTAAAAGGCTACGCCGTATTTGTGCTCTTGTCAGCCTCAGAACTACTAATGGACTAATAGTTTAAGGTACAGCATGACATGGCTTGCATTCCAAACAGCCCAGGTTGAATTTCTGGCATCTCGCTGAAGAGCAAACAAAGACTTCTGCTTGGAACCCTGTAGAACCACTGCTAAGTTGGAGGACTTCCTGTCCTCCTGCTGTGTCGAGTAGGTCGGCTTTTGCACCTTGCTTACAGGTGTAGCTTGCTGAGATCAGGTTGCCTGGATATATGGAGCAAGCTCATGGCTGGGGTGAGAGATGAAGAGTGAGCCCAAGAAAATTCAGGAGACATATTGTTGCCATGGTGGGATACCACTGGAAAGCTTGCAAAGGACTGAAATCTCTGCCTACTGCTGAAAAAGAAACAAAATACTATTGCACTTTTTAAAAGTGCAGCCTTTATTGAAAGCATTGCAGCATCCAGTATACAAAAAGCACATTACAGAATATGGCTCCTACATAATTGCCTTCCACAGCTGTGGCAAAAAAGCAACATTTTAATTTACACTGAGCTCAATATATCTACTGAATGTAGAGCAGTCAGGCAGTTTTAATGTTGGGCCAAATCCCTTTCCAAAAAAGCCACTACTAGTTTATTCAGTGAGTTGAGATTCATGACCATTTTCTTAGAAGTTCCTGCTGGAAAAATAAACTTGTTTTCGGCAGCTGTTGCTGGGAGAAATTAATTTGCTATTTACTCTTTTCATTATCCATTAGAGGGCAGCAGAACAGAACAGTTTGTCCAGTGTTTCTGTTCCTAGTGACTAGCTAACAGTTTTATGTGGCATTTAGTTAATCATTTTCCTTTGTGCTCGAATTCAAGCACACTATATTGCAATGTTGAGTTTTTAGAACAACACTCTCCTGAAACATGACAAAAGATTAAGTTTTCATTCAAAGGGCCCATGCTGAGAGTGAAGCCAGAAGTGTAGAGATGTGACAATCCAACGAGGGATACAAAAGAACAGCCAAAAGGATGGTTGTAGAAGTGCAAAGGGTGCCACAGCTTCAGCTGCATTATTGGAATAAATGCATGTGGCCCTTACTTGAGTAACAACCAGCTGGCCCTTCACCCTCCGCTTCTCACCATCTGTCAATAGAGGCGGACCAGAGGTACGTAAAAGAAAGGTCTGAGCGCTTAGAGCAGCCCTTGGCTACCAGACACCTTCTGAACACATCGGGCAAAGTTTCCTGGCCATGCTGGCTGGAAGCAGGTGGGGGCATCAGGTTGGGGAAGGCAATTTACACAACACTAACTCTGTTCTATATACCCACAATAAAAGGCCTGCCATCTTTCAAGTTCATGGGAAACTAATAGTAGGTTTTTGCCTTGATGGGGTTTTTGTTGGTATTTGGAGAAGAGTTTCTATCTGGGCAAGACAGAAATGCTTGGATCTTTAATTTGGCGTACTGTTTTAAGATGTGATGGCAGTAGCTCAGGTTTCTGTAAAATAGGGATTGGACATGATGGACTGCAGTTTCCATCATCCTTCACCATTGGCTATGCTGGCTACAGCTGAAGGAACTTGAAATTCGGCAAAATCTCTTATGCCTGTTTTAAAAGAGAATTAGGCCAGCTCTCCCCAACAGTAAATTCAGCCTGTGAGCGGCAGCAGGGTTGGTCCCAGTGCAGGGCCACTGAGAAACAAGAGGGGAATTGGTGTGCTTAAGAGAAACCCCGAGTGTGCAGAAATGCAAACACACAAACGTGCATGTATAGATGTATACATGAGGAAAGGGATACCCTCCAGTGCAGAAACAGCACAATGGCAGATGTGCCTCTTGGGACACACATTATTTAATCTGGTGAAATAGAGAGGGACAGAATATACTGGGAAAGGGCATAGCTAGCAGCAGATATCCTTCCTGTGGGGTCTGTTGCTGCATGCTGACCAACATGCTTTAAATGCAAACTGAGGCAGGGGTGGACTGCTGTTTGTTGTGTCATGTCAACCCAGTCAGGGTGGGTTCTTGGCATGGTTAACAAACCACCCACATCATGCCAGGGATTAAGTTACCTTTGGCATTGTGGCTCCCCAACTTGTGCAAATCCAGACAGGGTGCCTTGTTGCCATGGTTAACAAGCCACCCAGAACCCACGTGAGTAGCATGCATGGCACCAGAGCTATAGTCTTCACCATGATCTTGTGGACATACATACTCCCATATTTCAGAGGCCGCATTTGCAAGGGAGAGTTACTCAATATTGGTCTTGCCTACAAGGGATCTGCATGGAAGCAGGATGCTAGACTAGATGGATCCTTGGTCTTTCTGATGCAGCGAGGCTTTTCTTATGACCATAAAGAACTGAACTGTGGCAAGCAGCTCAGTTGCTCATTTGCAGTACTCACATTTCCCATTCCCTGCTCTATTGTGAATGTTTTCACCTGCCTTTTTTGACCAATGGAATCATGGCAGGCTGTTGACTTACTTTATTTGTAAATGTTATACCCAAGTCTAAATTACTGCAATTCACCTGTATGTCATTTTTGTTATTGATGATTGCAAGAGCAACTTTTAACAAATGTCAAGACATGGAAATAACTTGTGAGCTTCCATTGAAGCTGCAGGAATCCCAGGCTGAAGTGATTGTTTTGGGGACCAAATGCCCAAAAGCATTTTACTGTACTTCCACAAAATGGGGGCCAAACAGCACAAACATTGCATCCAACTGCAACTGCTACTTTTGAAACAGTTGTTTTAGGTTTAGCAGCTGCTAAATGAAGTTCCCTGAATTTTAAAATCTCAGCAGTTACATAAGAACTTCAGATGCGTTGGGTCCTTGACATCTGTGCAATGGATTTAATTGGTATTATTACCCGACACCCTGGCTCAAGAATCCCTTTTGGCTCTGGGAGGCAGACTGAAAAGCTGCCAGGAATGTCCTTAAGACAATGACAGGGCTGCAGTGATATGGGGGGAATAGTGTTCATGCATTTCCTCCTTTTATGGGGAAGTATTTCCTGTAACTGGAAACAAGCAAGGTGAAAAGAAAATGTTTTTGCTGCCTACTTAAACACTATCTAACCTCAAGTGGGTATAGGGGAGGTAACACAGTATTCCTTGGGTGCTGAAAAAGTCCCTGGTCCAGACCCCTTTTGGTGGTGGGACATCTAAGAGGTCTTGAAGTTTAGTGCAACCTATGGGCATTGTCACATGGAAGGAGGCAGTTCTTCAGATATCCTGGCCCTAAACCATGTGCAGCTTTACAAATATGCACCAACACCTTAAATTGGGGCAGGAAACAAGTCAGACTCCAATGCACTTGATGCACAGTCAGTGGCCTGAAAACAATGCAACAGAAAGACATCTGGCTGATGTACTGCACCAGCTGCAGTTTCTGCACACTCCTCACAAGCATCCCTGCAAAAGCACACTCAGTAATCTAATCAGGTGAGCAAAGCATTTATTTCTGAGACTAAATCCATCTTCTGCAGGCAAGGGTCCTGCTTTTGGATGGGTGGACAGATAAATTCATTTCTTTGATTCCTCATTTGCTTTGGAAGTTTGACAAACAATGACATGCAACTGCTGCCAGTCCATAGCAGAGTTAATTAAAACACACACACACGCACAATTTGTCAAATGCTCATTTTAATTATACACATTACAATGCATTTGCTACTGACCTTGCTAAAATTTACAAAAAAAGTAGGTTTCATAATTTTTAAAAATAAACTTTTTCTTATAAATTCATAAATAGGTGACAGTAAAATGTCAAAATTGACTATTGTATGCAAGCTTTGTTCCCTTGTTATCTTGCATTCCACCTCTTCTGGTAAACACTGTGCTAGAGAAGCAAGATAGTTGCCGGTGATCAGAAAGATGGGCTCTGTGCCTGTTCTCAGAAGCTTTGATTATTACAAGCGATAGAACTGTTCTAGAAAATGCAGAACACTTCAGTAACACCGGAGTTCTTCAAGCCTTTAGGCCCTTTTGGAATGAAGTGAGTGAATTCAATATGAATCAGAGCTTTCTCCCCACTACGTATGTGAGCCAGGCCTTCTTTACAGCTCATGCAAGCTGCATGTCTCTGGAATATTTGATTTCTTTAGCCACCTGATGCCAACAAGTGAGGCATTATTGCAAAGCAGGAAATGCCACTGACAGCATAGAGCACATGAGGAACCTCCAAAGACGGCACCCACATTTACCACTAAAGCATTCCCTAAAAATAACTTCCCCGCTATCAGATCCAATCTTTGTCAACACCACCACACTCACAAACATGCATCCCCTCAACCCCAGAAATGCCCAAATGTATACTCCTTCCTCACTTCTCTACAGATACTAACATCAGGCTATGATCTGAGTAAACTAAAGCAACAGATAATAAGTAATAGCACAGATACACTCTTGAATCATGGAAAGTGGCACTGTTCCTACTAGGCAAACCTACCCCAATGTGCATCTGTATCTTTCCCCCATGCAAAAGACAGACAAAAAACTAAACACGAAGTGCATGTCTGTTTCACTTCTGCATTTCATCTCAAAATACAGTCTCTTCTACAAAATACCATGTTTGTGCTTAAGACATCCAATGGGAAGTATTTGTCCTTTAATTTTAAAGTCTTCTAAGGTTTTCCAAATGTTAAGTAAACTGTTGTGTCTGTCTCCACTTACACTCTTGTGTACTTTTGGTCATACAGTTCTGACTACACTGAAAAAATACCCATGCTCCATATTCCTGATGTATGTGCCTAGGCTGGAGACAGCAGACAGAGATGTCTGTCTCATCTGCATTGCAGTGCAAGTTTAGAACTTATCAGTGTATGATAGCCTGGTCCTCCATGCAGATCTGTCTTCTGAGATTTTTTTCTGGGCGGGGGGGGGGATTGCCTCAGATATGGGCACACTGCTTATTGAGTAAAAGGAATCTAAATATTTGGGAATTTAGAGAAGTAGGCAGTCCTTAAGAATTGGATCTCTCCAATTTTATAGTTCAGGGTGAAGGCAAGAGGGAAATATTCCCTACATTTTGCTTACCACAATACAAATAACTGAAAATTTAATGTTATTAAGTTATTATCACTGTAGGAGGACTTTGACTAATACCAATAATATTAAGAGCATGCATGTAACTCACTCATGCAATTTATTTTTTCAAAATACAATCAAAGCAGCTAAGATATATCTAAATATGCATCTTATGCAACCATAACATCAAACCATTCCAGATTGTCTCAGTATTACCATACCCTGTACATTTCCTTCTTAGCTATACAAATTAGTAGGGATTCAGAACTGCAGTACAGTGAGGCAGAGACTGACACTGATCCAAAACGTATGTAGGTAAGAGTCCCATGATTTCAATGGAAATTACTTTCTGGTGCACAAGCTCAGAGTTATGGGAAAAGCCTTCATCCACAAAATCACACTGTTATTTGGCATATTTTCTTTACTTCGTTCCTCATGTTCCACATTTTTCCAGACTTCTGACAGCTCTGCCCATCTGAGCAATTAAAACAACAACGACAACAACAAAACCACACCCAGTTCTCCCTTCAGATGCTGTCACTTCTTTGCTTACTCTGGAAGCTAGGAAAGAAGTCCAGCGCAGTGTCATTTCTATAGTAGGGCCAGAGAAACCTGGGTGGGGCAAGGAACGGGGAAAGGAAAGGACGCCAAGATGTGAGAGAGGCAGGAAATATTGCAGATCAGTTTTTAGAAGGAAAGAAAGAGGAGTCAAAGGTACTGGGGCCTGATCTTGCATTATTCACAATAGAGGTTATTAGCAAATATGAAATTCACTTAGAGATTTTTAAAGGGTTATGCATATTAGAAAAAATGAGTAAGAGAAGAGATCGGGTCACTTCTCCCCATCCTATGGAAATGTGAAAATTCCTTCCTCAATATTACATAGGAGGTACAAAGAGAGATGTGTCAAGTTTTTCTTTGTATCTGTATATCATGTATAAAATCTTTCTTGAACTGTGTAACTGCATGTTAAATTATCTACTAATCTAGCTGATTGTTGCTTCAGCATGTGCATCCAATCTAGTAATTTGCCAAAGTCACAAATGAACACATCTACATCCTTCCAACATTACTCAGTTTCAGATGTTTTACATAATGCAAAGGAAAGGCACTGTACTAAATATATTTCTTAGAGTAATAAATATTTGCATAGATTATGCATTAAGATTAACTTTACCAACAGGTTTATAAGGCAACTATCTAAAAAACCCACATAAACTGTGTGGATTGGAACAGTAATATTCATGTGGACAACTACTGTCTACATAAAGAAGGGGAAGCCAACTGTACTCATCAGCTGTTCCTTTCTTTCTATGTAGCAAAGAGCGGATTGCATCCTATAAGCCATTAAGGACATATGTAATATCTAAGGTTATTTTAGATTGTTTTCCAGTATGCAGTCTATTGAGGAAATTTTCAATGCAAATCATTACTATAAATAACACTATTTCAAGACTGAGTGTTGTACAGTAAAATAGAACATTTTCCAAAAACTAAGCAATCCTTCAAAACACCTAGATAATGTTCAAGTACCTCAGAAAATGTTTGCTTATTTATTTATTGCATTTGTATGCTGCCCCATACCAAAAGGCTCTCTGGGCAGCTCACAGCTGCCAAATGTTCTAATGTTTATGCCACAAACTCTAATCACATGTTATGAAATCATTCATTTAATGTGCTCACTTCACACCTGTACTGCAAGATTATTTTGGACAGAAATAGAACCTAATCTTAGAGAGATGTATACCTTATTTATAAAACTGCTACAAAATGTACTCAGTTTGAACCAGTCAAATACCTGTGCAGTGCCATCAATTATGAATGGTACTGTTGTGCTAAAATAGCTTTGTTTCTCTGCAATGAAGTGTTTGTTTAGAAAATATGTCATATACTTTGATTCCTTTAAGAAATGTGTCACATTTGAAGAAATTATTGAAAGATTATTACCAGTATCAACATCAGAATCTGGTATATGCTACCAGTGATACACCGGAAACTCACCTATGGGCCAGAATTTTGTGCTGCATTGAAGTGGGCAAACTAGTCCCTCACTTTTTTTGTCTTTGGCATGCAAGTGTGCTGTATCTTGCTCTACTGATGTTAATAAAAGCAACTTTATCAATCTAAGCAACTTTAGTTTTGTAAAACTATTTAAGAAAACTTGATCTAGACAAAGAAGTCACAATATAGCATTATAGTGTCTCACTAAACTAGACACACTTCACAGATCATGTACATTGCAACTGAAGGCCAACTCATACGAGCTGACCGATGATCTGGCCATCTAGCAAAGCAATCAGGTGACTACTCTGCGCCCGCCCAGTCAACTAACGATCCGCATCAGTCCAACCTGCAAAGGTTGTGTGCATCAGCCCTGAGTCTGAAGAAAAGGAACTGCTGTCAGAAATATGATTTCTTTCCTGCACTTACACTCATGTTTCCTACCTCTAAAATGGGTGACTATTTTTATATTTTACTGAGAAATTTCCTCAAAAGATTCCTTATACAAGAACTTGTGAGAAATATCCATCAATTCAACTATAAAGACTGAAGAAAAATAAAGTGCTCAAGTTTATTCCAGTGATAAGGGGCGGGTGTCCCTAAACATTTTGTTGGCAAGTTCTCCTTTTAAAAGTTATGGATGAGTCCCACTTGTGGGGATACGAGCCCACAATGCCATTCTGAAGAGGCCTTCCAGAAATCAGAGCATTACATGATTCCCCCCTCTTTTTGCATAATGGACGCATATCCCTTCTCTTTCTCCTAATATGGGACAAGCAGCCCCTGCAACCTTCACCAAGGCACTAACACGAACTATTAACTGATAAAGCATCAGGTTTAAGCCCAGATCTTAGCAGAATGCTCAGGCCACTCAGCAGCAACCCCTCCTCTGCACTCAATTACATGCAGGTCCACAGGGGGTTTTGGCAGGGGCCATTTTCCTGCATTATTCTGCCAACAGCTCATCTCTCTCACAGGACAACCATTCCAACAAATGCCAGAAGTTTCCATACAGGCAGAACAAGACAGCTTGCAGCACTCTCTAAAGCCTAATCATAAATGTACTTATGCCAACAGTTAATGAATGCAACAAAAAAGAGCACCTTTATAATGTTTAGAGGGCTACAGCTAGTACTGATCAGCAAGGGCTCATATAGAACCACAATAAAGGTGCTATTCATTCCTTCCTAGACTACATCCTAAGAAAAAATGCCAAAGACTTCTAACAGGCACATTATCAGTAGACTTTAACATGTATACATTTGAAGAAATGGGTTAATTCTGAAATAACATTTGATGTTCCCATAATAACTCTTGGAACTGGGTTTGTGAATACAATCCTGTAAGCAAATCCAGCAAGATCCTGTTGATATAAAACCTGGAAATCTTACACAGATAACACAACCTAATATAAGGTCCTGACACATGAACACTTTCTAGGAAAACATTTCTCAGAGAACTTTCATGTCACACCAGCCCAAAGTGATCCTAAATATGTAACAGTAATTACATAATTAGCTGGAGAAGATTCTTACAACCCTCCATCCCACTGAACTGAATGGAACCTGGCTGGGATGTAAAGTCTCATGCACTGGCACATCAATTTAGGACTTGGTCGAAAGCTGGTGGGCTCAGTTCATGAAGTGCAGATGCTGTGCAGCTTCCATTTATTTTACTGGGCAAGGGCTGTTGCACCCACCGAATAAAACCCTTTCGCTTAACCCCAGTGTCTAGTTATAGTAACTTTTCTGTAAGTTAAAGCACAGTGTTGCTGAAGAACAGTGGTATAAAGCACTGTTTAGGAGCAAAGGCTATCCGTCACGTCTCACACCATTTCTATACTACAAGCAAAAATTCAAACAGCAAGGCCAGCAGGAACCAATGCGTGTCTGTCTTTGAGGAGGAGAAAGTAGGATAAGTTATAAAACTAAATTCATTATACAGTCAGCTGCAGTATATCGCAAAAAACAAAATCGGTGAAATTGTTTCTATATAAAGTTGATTCTCCGATTAGTAATACTTATATTTTAAAAACAGATTGCTGACATCAGCCTTATCCTTATCTTCACTCATGCCAACAGAAGTCATCATAACTGGATGTTTCTCATAATATCACCTTGAATTTTGTATGTTGTTAGTCTGTGTTTTTCTAACATGTCCAATTGCAAATACCTATTTTGGCCCTGTGCTCTGAAATAAGGTCCTTTTAGGGTGCCAAAAGTTAAGCACTGTAAAGGCTTGCTAAAGAAACTTGCAGATACTCTATTCACTATTCATACTAAACTTTAAGGTGCTCAAAAAGGGAAACTGTTGCTAACATCTGCATGTCTAAACTGCAGGCATAACTTTAGTCTGACATAAATATATAAGAAAATAACTTTAAGTTAAATATATTGAACAAAAATGGTCAAGAGGGTTTTTTATTAATAGACTCCATGGCTTTCTATCAATAGTAGAAATTCTTCCTGCAGAAGGATGAGTAACAATTTAAAGAATGTAATGTGATATACATTTCTGGACTGAAGCAGTGGGAGGAACATGCTCAAGGATTTCAAAGGAATATCTTACAGAATCAGAAAATGTGCTCCATATTAAGAGCTCTTGAGCTGATTTCTGATATAAAAGGGGATTGCTACATGACTTATTAAGGGCTCCATGACATGAGTGGTCATTCCAGGAAAATTCACAGTGTTCACCTACATCCAACAGTACAGATTCTGTACCCTCAAGTAACTTCTTAAGAATACTGACCTAGAGAAATCTCATGAGGAGCTAACTCTGGAAAAGTAACCATGGATCCAGGCTTCACAGAGTCCTCTGTCAATTTATAATTTCCTCCTCATATCTAGTATCCCAAAGTTAAGCATGAAGAAACTCTAGCTAGAATAACATCTAACTACTCCAATAGCAAAATTAATGAACAGCTGGAACTAATTTTCAATGAAACCTGAATTAGAGAAGCAAATGGATAAGTGTAAAAAAAAAGAAATTTGCAAGTGTTCCTTCTTTCAAGAGTGCAAAATGTAAATTATGAAATTAATGAAGTTGAGGATTCACATCTACATTACTAACTCTGAGGAAGAGACTATTAAAATGGTACAACATAAATGATTAGCAAACCTATCTTAATAATACAATCTTAAGCCTATTTTCTTAGAAGTAAGCCTGATAAATTTTCAAAGGCATTTACTTCCAAGAAGTTTCCATTGAAATCAGTGGGACTTATATCCAATGAAATGTGGTTAGGATCAAGTATTTGATAGTGGACAGCAAGAAAAAAAAGGTAGCCCTGTTTCATTGTAGAGTTCAGTACTGGTCATGCTGGCTTCTGTACAAGGGAGAAAAACATCTGTCCAGCTAGAACTGCACCAGCAGTAGTAAGCAACCTCCCTCCCCATACACATGGTAATGTCTACAGAAAGTCTAAATTCTATGGAGGTTCCTCATTTTGCACAAATGGCAGCTGCTTTTTCCTATATTAAAAAAAATCAAGTATTTCATACTTGAAACTCCTGGGCAGAAAGACTGTCTGACCCTCTGTGGTTACTGCTACTTGGTGGAATGTTGAAAGAGAGAAAGGCAGTGTTAAGATTTGCTGACCTAAAAGAAGCATCATATTCATTGACAAGATCCAATGTAGAGGAAGTTACAATTCAAGAATTTCTTGTTCAAGTTCAAATGAGAAGATCCCAGTGGTTTCCCTCTGTGCAACTCACTTTCAAGTGACTCTAGTTCTGCTTCAAAGAATCTGTTGGAAAGAATAACTGCCATGTATTTTTAGATCCATATAATGAAGTCAGTTCTTTTTTAAAATGTTCTGAAAATGTTAATGCCTAACCTATGAAAACAATGGGCTTGCGGGAAGTGGATTCTGGGGTGGGGGGATGCGTGTGTGTGGGGATGGGGGGAGGGGGGAGAGTACCCTTGAAATTCCAGTAACATTTAGAAGTATCTCCTCTGCTGTATCAGCAGCCACAGCCCCATCCTTCTACTACATCCTTGCTGTCAAGTTTGATGCTGTCTGTGTTTTGCTCACTGAACACAGGCCCTCCGTGCCTCATCATGAGCTCTGTGGCCATCTTCACAAAAGCTTCCTCCACGTTGCTGGAGTCCTTTGCAGATGTCTCTATGGCACAGATGATATCGTAGTGTTCAGCCAAACTCTGAGCCTCCTCCAGCTGAACCTCCCGAAGGTCACTTAGGTCAGACTTGTTTCCTGGCAGGAGAAAGTGAAGCTGTTTATATATTCATTTTAAATGCAAGTCCTGTGGTCAGGGAAAGTGCCCAGTCAGGGGAGCATAGGGGAAAATGGTGAGCGTGTGTGTGAGGGGGTAACAGCGGAGAGCCATGCAACTATTCTTGGAGAACTGCAGGGCCCTGAAGAAGAAAAGAAGAAGCACATAGCCAGGTTGGAATTAAGCAGCCACTGATTTCTCAGAGATGAGAGCAAGCAGGTGAAAGTTTATTTATTTATTACTAGGTGTATATCCCATTTTTAAGAGCTCAAAGCAGCTTACATCACCCTTAACAAAACTACTTATTTCTAGACCAACCAGTTCATGCTATTTTTTAATTCCTTTCTCCCTGAAACTAGTGGGATATTGAATATTTATTCCACAATTGTTCACCTGCAGACAACCTTTGTATCAGTAAGTTGCACAGAAGAAAGACATGCATCCCTAACAAGTGGCTGGTTCCAGGATCTGCAAGAAGAAGGGACTTTCTGCTCAAAGAAAGATTTGGTCAAGGAAGGACCCTTTTGATCTGCTTGATTTTGAGGGATCCCTTACATACATGCTACAGCTCACCCCATTCAGGATGGTCTCCTGTCTTTCTTTAGCATTTTTAAAGAGAAATTTGATGCTCTACCACTGGCAGGTATGAGCAGTAAATTGCACTGCTCTTCAACCCCAAACTCCAGTTCACACACCAGCAACACCAGCAGATACTAAGAGTTCATCAGCCACTTTCCCACCATGGCATATACTGGCAGTTCCCAAGTTATGAACATCTGAGTTATGAACAACCCATACTTATGAACAAACTGCTATTAATTTTTAAAAAATATTGTAAGAAATTGTCATCACCATAGAGAGAGAGGAAGTGGGAGTGTAGAGAGGGAGGTCTTCGAAGCATGCCTTTCTATTCTGCCCATTTGGACAGGGAAATCTCTCTGGCATTTCCTTGCTGCAAAGAGGTGGCCCTGGTGAGTTTGGGCAGGGTGGGGTGTTAAGAGTTATTTGTGATTTTTCCACTTTCACAGGGGTCCTGCACCCCTGGCCCCCATGACTGTGGAGGTCCCACTGTTACATTCAAATTTGACTTAAAGATGAATTTCCATTTTCTCAGAAATGGAACTCATTCATAACCTGAGGATTGCCTGTACGACTGTGAGAAAGCAGCTGGGAAAGTTGTTCAGAGTAGCTGCTGGCCCTCTGTTGCTGCAGGTCTCTAGGGCTCTTGTGAGCATCTCATGTTATCTCAGCTGTGTGCCCAGGGCCAGTGAGATTCCAACCCTCCCTGCCATTGTCAACCTCATCCCAGAGAGCTCACCACCTTTCTGTTGCTGCCATACGGGGACTCTCTGGACTAGGGCCAGAGCTGGTGAGAGCAGGGAGGGAGGGAGAGTTGCACTGTGGCAGTAGGAACGGAAGGCGGCGTAGTAGCAGTGTGAAGGCTGCTAAAGAGAGCAAGGGACCCTGCACCAAGCCTGCAATCCCATGGCGTTGAAAGACTGCCTTTAAATAAACAAGGTTCAATAAAAACAAGGGAGACCACTGAATCCTAAGTCAGCTTGTTCTGAGAAACAGAGATGCACAACATGGCCATGGGACTTGTAGCAGAGACTGCGGAAAGCCAAAGCTTTCAATTTTCTACTAGCAATCCAGACAGTAAGTGAATTCCCACTCACCAATTAGCAGTTGTACTATGTTGGAGCCGGCATACTTCCTTACATCCTCGATCCAGCGAGGAATGGACTGGAAGGAGCCCCTCTTGCTGATGTCATAAGCTAGGATAGCTCCATTGGCGCTTCGGTAATAACTCTGAGTGATGGTTCGAAACCTTTCCTGGCCAGCTGTATCCCAGATCTGCAACTAAACAGAACAAACAGAAAGTCAGGTAACCATCTCTTCAATTTCTCAGGTATTATGATTATTTTATCATTGATGGAAAGCATAAGAGAAATTTGATTTCAGTCCAATTAGTTCGATAGAACTGAGATAGCGCAAATTAGTTTGAATGAACACTCACGCACATTTGCTGAGTTTAATATCCCATGTAAAAAGCATAACAACTTAAGAGGAGGACTGGATACCCATGCTACATGGGCAGTCAACTTTGCAAGTCAGAAATCTCCTTTCAAAGTAGCAATGTTTTTAAACTCTAGATATGTACAATGATACTCTGCTTTAACAACTCTAGTGCTTACATGGGGAATTGTGATGCATACACAGAACTCTAAGCTGTAGGAATGAGGCTTCTTTGGCAGGAATCATAGAGCCAAGTGCTTCTCCTTTTTTCCCTTGGAGGTCTGTGGGGGCCACCAGACAGGACTTGTGGGGGTGGGGGTATTTGTATGTCTTAAGCTGTGAAGAATATTTTGCAGACAACTGTCCACTGCCAGCACAAAACACTTCTCAGCACTAACAAGACTGGGCAGCCTTAGTGACCAACAACTCTGCATAAACTGGAATCCCATGTAGCTTTTGTTCACAGTCTATAACAGGAGACACCTCCTTGTGTGCAGGGCCTCTACCTGAGGATCTTCATTCCAGCATCTCCAACCAGCCTCTTCCAAAAATCTGGTGAGCTCTGGGAGTGGACTCTAATACCACACAAAGACATGACTTGGAGGAAAAAAAAGGGAAGCCCTAACACAGGGATGTAAGCTCCTTTACATGTTAAGGAGCCTTTCTGGATTCCAGCTTCTATGCTCCTCAGCCCTTGGAAAGCAATCAAGAAAAAGAGTTGTAAAAATCTTCAGTTTGTCTTCTAGGCTTCTGCCTTCTTTCACACTAATATTAACAGCTTTTACCGACATGTATGCACTTTCACTTCCATCACAAGAATTTAAGTTTCACTATGGATTACTTGACAGCACACTATATTACAAAAGACTGGATTTAGCAAGAAAAGATCAAAATTCAGATAGCTGCCCAGAGCTTAAAAAATAAAACTAAGTTTTATTTATTCAAAACTTTTCTATACTGTCCCATACTTAAAAGTCTCAGGATGGTTTACAGAAGATTAGTACAGTTCATATAGATTATTAACTTCTATCTTAAACTGTTTACATAGCCAACACAATGATTTCAATAAAAAAAAAAACTTCATGTGTTGTAACTGCATCAAAGTTTAAATAAAAGCCACAGTAATCTGGTGTGCTGTCTAGAATATAGTGCTCCAAATATCTGGCTACTGCCTGGGACATCACCAATGAGTAAGTGACGCGAGCCCCTCTCCCATTACCCCAAACCATATCCTGATCCACCTCAGTCTGCTAATGACACCTGGCCGCTGGGGGCAGGACTTCTGCTTGGGACCTTCATTTCTCTGGCACCTGCAAGGGCAGCTCCCTTGGGCGGCACCAAAGGGCATTGCCTGTTTGGTGCCTGGTCAGTGCGAGGTGGCAGGAGGAGCTATCTATCAGAGTAGGGTCATTTTGCTATGGACTTCTGGGAGGAGGGGAGTTTAGGGGAGCAGCCATTCAGGTGGTGATGGGTAGGGGGTGTTAAGGTGATGAGGGCAGAGCATGCCCTTTTAGGAGAAGAGGGGACAGATGCTTACTCCCTGCCCCTCCTCTGGCTCTTCTCCCAGCCTCAGGATACCAGGCAACCATATGAGCTTGCCTTCAGGTCTGCTGGTGTTGTTAATGCCAGGTCAGTCTGTAATAAAAGTGTTCTCATTCACAATTTAATCATGGATGAGAAGGCTGGCCTGGTATGTATTACTGAAACCTGGGTGGGAGAAGAGGTCCCTCTCTCCAGCATCACCTGGAAGACCGGGGAGGAGGGTTGACAATAATCTATAAGGATTCAATCTACCTTGCCAGGCTTCCTATCTCCTCAGGTGAAGGTCTGGAGTGTTTGTAATGTGTGTTGGGCCCCTGATATAGGCAGGTGATTCTGTTAAGGTACTGGCCACCCTGCTGCACTTTATCAGTCTCCCTGCCTCAGCTGATGGAGCTGGTCTCAGATCTGGTTCTTAAGTCCCCCAGGATAATGGTCCTTGGGGACTTCAATTTCCATGCTGAGACCTCCTTGTCTGGAGCAGCTGAGGATTTCATGGCCATGACGACAGCCATGGAGCTGTCTCGATATGTCAATGCCCCAAAACATAAGAAAGGTCATACTCTGGACCTGGTTTTCTTGATGGAGAAGGATGGTGGTTCCAAAAATCTCTTTCTCTGGAATACCACCAATCTTGAATCTGACTGGTAATTTAACATGGCTGGGGGTGGCGGCAAACTGCTCAGCATCCCCCTATCCTAAGTAGTTCAGCACGGAAGATGGTCTGTATTCCTTTTCAATATCTGGAGAACTATTTTTTCCTTTATTATGTGGGGAACGGGAGGGGGGAAATTGTTTCCTGTGGGACCTGTTTATTCACCTCCTTATTCTTTTCTTCCTTTTCACTTTCATCAGTTGCAGGGAACTTATACCAAGGATTTTAAAAGAATAGTTGAATTGCTAGGAAAAATGCTGTTTTTTTAATATGTTATGTTATGAATGAGTTGAAAGATTTTTCCCATATTAACTTTTGTTAGTACAAAACAAAAGATGAACCTGACCCAAGAACAATTTTTGGGTAAACTTTGTCTGAAATTTATGAATCAGCTACCAACAGTTAACGAGCAGCCAAATACTTCCTAAATACTGGAACTATAAGTTGCTGAACATTTTAAAAATTCAAAATTAATAATCATATAATTAACTTTTCCTATGGGAGAGTACTGTTCATGCATGTCCCTTGGCTGGAGATATTACTGATCTCTGGGTATACTTAACATAGTTTTTTGAAATCCTGGAATGTGCTTGAATTATTAAAAAAAAACCCCTGAAAATAAGAACCTCAAAATGTCCTCCTTTCCCAGGCCAACTGTGCTTTCCCAATGCTTACAAACCACATTGTGCTCTGTGCAACCAATCCTATTGGTGTGCTTGATTCTGTGTGGATAAACACTCATACTCGACATCCAGATCAGTTATGAGCCCGAAACAGTACAGGTGTCACCATGACTGCGTGTTTTCAGAGTTTCTGAAAACCTATTTCAATAGACATATCAACTATTCCATGGCCTTCTGTAACTTAGAACGATACTCATAAAGATTAATTCTTAAGGTTTCACCTAACCAAAATGAAACTACAGTGTCCATATAATCTAGACGATTGCAGTATCTGTTTCAGCACAAAGTCAAACTTATGTATTCAGAGGTCAAAAGCATAATAACAAAATCATTATATCCTAGCATGGGGAAAGCCCAGAAGCAAGTCACTGTCTATTTGGCAATGGCTTTGTAATAGTAACAGGAGACAAGCAGTCACACAGATAACAAAACTGACAAATTTATCTGCTTTTAACATGACCAAAACTTTAAATATAGGGAACATTTCAGCCAAGCCCAACATACTGAACATTACTAAGAAATTCAAACTGTATTTGAATTTCCAAATCCACTCAAATTCTAGACTACCCAGAATTAGTTCAAAACAGTGAAATGCTGATTACTGTCTACCACTAGGCTCTAAAAGCAGACTATGTACTTCTAATTTCTTCCATAATAGTATGTCTAACTGCTATTCACAGGAAATGTATTTTTAATTTCTGTCATGTCTATGAAGTCTGCTTTAGCTTTTAAGCAGGAGCTTCCCCACTCTTAAAAGTGCATAACAGAAAAACACCTGGTACTAGGTGGAGTCCTCAGAAATTTTGCAATTTGTATTTGTTTGCCTAACATTAAGTTCAGCCAGGCTTCAGTGTCCTAAGTAAAACACTTTGATAACCTTCTCAACAGGAAAACAGAGAAAGCAGTTAAAAAGATAAAGGACATATTCAGCAAAATATATAAAAAATAAAACCTTTAAATATTAATTAAATGGTTCTCTCTTCTAACAGCATACAAGCAAAAAAAAAAAAAACCTTCTCTACCTTCTGTACTCTTAGCATGTATCTTTCCTGTTTTCTTTTAAGTAGACACAAAAAGGCTTGTTCCATTTATCTGAAAGTAGATAAACTGTTCATGCTTACACCTATGTAGTCATATTTCCTAGTACACGCTGGTAATGTTGGATATCTTTAGATCTTTCAGCTCTGTCCACTTTTATATGTGACCCTGCACATTTCTGCCTTTGGCCTACCCACCTCTGGAATGTGCCCTCCATCGCAGCATCTCCAAAATGGGCAGCAAATGTTTCACTCTACCAGCATTTTAGTCCACAATATAGTCTCAGTGTCTCTATTTTTGTGTGTAGTCACATGTGATATGAGTGAATGCTGCTGTGGAAAAATAATCTTTGAAGGTGAACAGGCTTTTCAGAACTGTTCTTGCTGCATGATTCTATGATCTATATTCTTGATAGAGCTATGCCTCAGCACAGAAAATAAACATGCACACTGATTCAGTCTCTTGGTTAGCCATCCTACCATCCTAATCATTGCCCCTTTTCTGTGGCAAGAGAGATAAGCAAGGATATAGAACTAACTAATCAAGCCTAGTACAGAACAGAATTCTCCCTTTATGATACAGCATTAGGAAACGGGAATGTAACAACTTTTTCCTGTAATGTATAGGGGTTGTGGCTGAAAGAGAATGAGTCACTTTGCTTTGAAAACAATATTCTAAAAATGGCATTACAATTGCCATGATAAAAAGGTGGATGAAAATAATATCTAATCAAAAAATCAGTTTTTTAAAATGTAAAGCAGATTTTCAAATAAAATGCTTTTTGAGGGGAAAAATCTATCTAAAAATAATGTTCCATTTAAGATTCATTATAGTTATACACCATGAACTAAGGATCAATTTTAATTATGCAGCATAAGGCTATATATTCATGCAGTGTTTAAATTTGTTGGTAAATGAATTCCATTAATCCATTCACAGTCATGCTCTTCCAGAAGTTTCTCTAAGATTATTGGGCAATTTTTCTGTCTAGGAGGTATTATCACAGATGCCTGGTTTTACAGTTCTCAAAACTGTGAATTTGTGTAGAGATAACATGCCTCTTCTTCACCTGCAAAAATTTTATAAAATGAACATACAGAACTGAGAAAAAGACCTTAATCCCATTGTTCCTTTGTAAATCTATGTACACAGAATCAACCCCTTACTTTTTAAGTGCTAAGTTTCAAAAAATGCAATGAATAGAAGAAGATTGTTGAGTGTGGAATATATTGCTATGAGAAGTTAAGTGTGAGGAGGGGCAAGCAGTAAAAATGAAAGTGAATCCTTTTGAGCAAAATACTTCACAAATCCTTGGATCTTTTTGTGTTATAGCCTTATATTATTATTTTCCTGGAGAAAACCTATACTGGCAGCAGGCTGTAAAAGAGACCCAGTTTGGGAATATTTTAATGAAGTTCCTGTACCTATGGGTAAGGCAGGCATGTATGCATATTATGTAGAAGACTAGAGTTAAATCTAGTCTTACTAGCTAGTGATTTAAATCAAATGCACCCTGCCATGATTCAAAGGCATGATTCTGCAAAAGCAGCTTGATTATGGATTGCTGTCTTTGCAGAAACTCAGAACCCACAAATGACTTTTTGAAACTTCTCAAGATTTTTTAAAGGGATTAAAAATGATTTTGAGTTTGCAGAAAATAACTTTTCCCTTTTCTTAGAGGGAAAAGTTCCGCATTTCTACAGGCAGCTGTTTCCCTTTCAAGTTGTGTCATGTTAAGTCCTTCAACTAGGGAGGGGGTGTTCCAGAGGAACAAAGATGCTATGTGGCCAGCATTCAAGGAGGACACCACTGCTCCAAAAGAACTGGCTTGTCTGTTACATGCTTTTCTTCAAACAGCTTTTTTCTTCATCACAGAAGGGCCAAGACAACTAACTCAGCAATAATACACAAGATGATCTTTCAAATAAAAAACCCTATCAAATAACACACACAAATCAAAATCGATTCAAAACTATTTCAAATAATGACTGAGATCTACATCAAATGTTATCCCCAAAACCAGAAATACCTTCTTTCAATTTCACTGTACAGCCTAGTCTTCGCATAAAAAGCAATTTCAGCCATGACCATTATTTCTGGGCAGTCCAGAACGATCAGCTGTGTTATACTTAAGTAAAACATGATTATAGAATAGATAGAATAGAATAGGGTTTTTTCCATTTGTATATGAAGCTAGAAAGCTATCCACTGCACTACTGTAGTGTAACTGGGATCATAGAATTAAAGTGATCCCAGCCATAAAGTTCTGAGTTCAATTTGTGCTATGGCCACTATCTGTGAAGTACAGTCATGGCAATAACTGTGATGACTGAGCATAACATTTGTCTGTGGATCAACAGTTTTGCTCTCTTACTTTCCATTCCAAGGTGCGATCTGGAAAATCATTCTATTTACTTTCTCAGTACTTTGAACAGTTTTCCAAGCCACCTTGGTAAACTGTCAGCTGATAAAGGGATTGCAAAAGTTTGCTGAAGTCCATTAAAGCAATTCTTAATTTTAATGCTCTCCAAAGCACTTTTCCAAACCAGTTTTTAAAATCCTGTTATATTACATCTGAAGGAAAAGCTATGGCCATTTCATTCTATACTAAAAATGTTTTAGCCTCTCTCCCATTATTTATATACATATGCAAATATTAATAAATACAGAACAGAAAGCATGGAAGCCATTTTAAATTCAAGAGTGCATTCTAGCCAGTATATATATTTAAATTCACATTACAGACATGCGAGATGCAGCAACAATAGTTTTCACTGTCATATGTAAACACTAACACACTTTACCTTTAGTTTCCCAGTCTGAAATAGAGTAATGATGACAATTTCCTGTGAAGCATTACCATTACAATGTAAGGGATACAAGTAGTCCATGGATCTAGGTGCCTGCAACATTTATGTATAAGTCTTCAGAAAAAACATGGAATAAAAATGTTTTGAACTATATAACCTGATGTAAAGGTGACACTGGGCATACAAAACAAAGCCAGAGATAACATACACACAAAACAAAGTACTTAAGTGTGTAAAGTTCCACAAGGATGGGCCTACTTTAACTGGGTTTCTGGTCTTTTCACATGCAGCATTAGTAGGCAAACACAGCACACGTATGGCCTGTGACTCCCTAGCATGGTCAAGTCACATACATATGGGTTGCAACTTAATTTATAGACTATGGCAACTGTGTGAAACTCAATACAGAGGCTGTGCAATAGCAAAGCGACATAATGGGTTGGAAACCTTAGAGATTGATGTATTTCTTGTACTACAGGCTCTTGTGGTTAAAAACATTCACCACATGCCCAAAGTGGTCTTAGGGGGAGAAGTATATAACATGTTATATATTAAATAACTACAAAAGCTTAAAATCAAGTTAACCAGAAGACACCAGAACACATCCTGATTACTAGAAAAGTCTATACAATATCCTGTAAATCTTCCTGAAGCCTTCACTTTATAGTGATTATATGGAGCAGCCATTTTTAATATCTTCAACTATCATCTTTTTAAAGTAAGCCTGAAACTGTTGAGCTCCCTCAAGATTGACCTTAATTCCATAATTCATAGCCACTTTCCAGAAATATTCTTTCCAGCATTTCGGTACAGGCTGTTCCACACCTGATGCCCTTACTTTACTGCCCGTGATGTAGACAGACAACTGCTTTATTGTGTGATGTTTTAAATGCCCTGTAGCCCATTTGGGATAAAAGACCCAGGAGCAGGTAAGAGGGTTCTGGTTCGCAAGCCCCGCCCCTTCTGCAAACTCTTGGTTGGCAATGAACTCATCGCCTCTCAGTGAATGCCAGGGGGAGGACCTAGCAGAAAGATCCACGGATGTCTGATTCCATCCCGTCTCTGGGGAAAGGGAGGCTGCCTGCCATGCCTCCCTCCTCCCCAAACTACAGCTTGTTGTTGTTTCCGCACACCTGTTACCTCCCTGGCTACTGGTGGAAGGGGAGGCGCACGACGCCTCCCTCTGCCGGCTAGCGGGGGGCGGCGGCGGCAGGTCAGCCCCTCGCCCCTTGTTTGTCTCACTCCCGCCTGTCCTGTCCCGCCCGGCTCCCACCTTGACCCGCTTGCCCTGGATCTCCAGGCTCTTCATGGTAAAGTCCACGCCGATGGTGTTGCCCTGGCGCTCGGCGAAGGCCCCGGTCTTGAAACGCTGCACCAGGCACGTCTTGCCCACGTTGGCGTCGCCGATCAGCACCAGCTTGAAGAGGAAGTCGTAACGCTCCTCCGGGTCCGGCCCGGGGGGCGCTGCCGGGGGGCCGGGCATGGCGGCGGCGGCGGAGCAGCTGCTGCTCCCTCCTTCGGCCTCCCGTGCTCCACAGCAGCAGGGAGCTCCACGGCGCCCGGCCCGGCCTAGCGCTCCGCCCGCCGCCCCCCTCGCTCCCGTCTGGGCCGCGGCCGCGGCCGCCTCAGCATCCTCCCAGCCCTGCCAGACCGGGTGACTGGGCATGCGCAGAGCGAGCTCAAGTTTTTCCTCATGCGTTGGCCGGCTGAGGCGGGCGGGGCGGCGCGAAGGGGGCTGTCCTCGTGCTCCTTGGCGGAGGCAACGGGAGAGAGACCGGCGACCCGCCTTCGCACTTCTGGCTTAGGAGAGAGTCGGTGGTGTAGCGAGGGAAGTTTAGAGCTCGGTCTTGCTAGTCCTATGCCACAGGCAGCTCAGATGTCTCCCTGCTGCCCTTCCATGCTTCACAACTGCTTCTGCATTCCCGTTATGTCAAACAAAAGAGTAGGGGGACAAAACTGGTTCGCTGGAAAGAAGACTCTGAGCATGGTTTGCATTTTAACCCCATGTAAATCATAGAGCCGACTTTACTCCATTCTAGTCACATACGCGTGTTCGTGTGTCACAGATTGACGAACCCTTCACACGTTGGGAAAAAAGCTGCATATTGTGCATGCAACGGGTAATGGGCCTCATTCCGCATGCACAGGTATATCGTCTCCTCCCCAGCCCGATTGTTTCTCCTGAACAAAAGTCCTTCAGAAATTACCGGTAAGGCTGTGTGGAGCATGATTCCAATCGGTATATCAAGGATACTCTCACCATACATTTTGGCTTTCTCCACAGTAATCATGGGTTTTCTAGTCCTCAGATAAAAGCTAGTGATAAAATAGCGGAAAGCGTTGCTGACAAGTACTTAAATGTGGTCTATTATTATTAATAATTTCATTTCTAGACTAGCCATAGCTGAAGCTTTCTGGACAGTATACAGGTGGTAGAGACAAGGAAGAAACACAGACAAGCTCAGTATTACTGATTGTTGCATTCACTGCCATTTCTATTAGCACTAAGTCAGTAGTACATGCTTAATACCAGCTACTGATCGCTGTACCTGTGAATGCAGACAATGTAATAATACGTAGTGCATTTTAAGCATTCTCAGTGCTTTACATGCTTCATTTGAGACATCTCCGCAAGGTCAGCCACTCCTTCTCTCAAGGCAAAATTAGTCATCTCCAAGGTTGAAACACCCTGTTCAGCGCTGCCCAATTTCACAAGCCAGAATAAGGAAGGGTCCAGAGAACAAGTGGAGGGCCTCAGCCTTCCAAGCTGTTTGTGCATGTCCTCAGTCTTTACAAGGTGGAAGTCCCCAATGATGATATGGATGGATTTTTTTTTTTTGCATCCCTGACTGAGTAGTTGCATTTCTTTCATACCAGTTTGCAGTCTTCTTTATTATCCTTGTCTGGGCAAGACTTCTATTTTCTGAATGATGCCCCTTTTCTCTCTAATAGTTTCCTTCACCCTGTGCCTCAACCATGTATGTGACCTCTTGGACCTAGTGGTACCTTGCTTACACATTTTGGCTGAGTTTTTGGCTGAATTGACACCTCAGTGACAAGCCACCTTGGTAATAAGCCTCAGTAGATGGTGGTTTGGTGAAGTACCCACAATAAACCCTGCAGAAGACTTGGCTCATTATAGGTACTTTGCTCCATCCTCTCCCCCCATGTTCCTTCAAGCAGTATTTCAGACAACACTGCAAACCGTAGTTAGAGAAATCTTGAAATGGTTTCAGCTTTTTCTAGTTACAGGAAAGTCCCTGAAGCACAATGAGAAGGAACTTCCAACCTCAACTTCAGTGGGCAGCCCTCCATGTCAGTGTCTTGACTGGGCTGCCAAGTGGATTTTGTAGCTCCAGCTTTGAGGACATCTTTGCTAGTGACTTGAAAGTATTATTCCCCAGGAGCTAGCAAGGGTGGCCCCAGTGACCATCAAGGAAGAGAGAATCCTGGCCATGCTTGCGAGCAGGAGGAGAAGGCCACTTTTGAGCCACATTGGTAAGGATGGGTGCCCTGCACTGCTGCAGGTAGAGGAAAGCTGCTGACAACAGGCCCAAGTGCTACTTGGGTACATTGGAGGCTTGCTATGAGCACTGCTACACTGTAGCCAGTTGGCAAGCTCAGCAAGGGATTTTTGCTGTTCTCACCAAAGGATTTGCTGGCTGTTCCAGCTCACTCATGGTGGGTTATGTCTAGATGAGATAGGAACTGCCGACAATAACAAACAAGAGTGGGTTATTGGGTTGTCCAAACCAGTATTCCATTAGTGTGGTTTGGACTAACCCCCTGGAGAGATTTGGCTGCCCTTTTAAATTTCACTTTTTTTAGTCCTCTTATTTTGGGGAAGTTTCCTCTTTTGAACTCAAATGTAATTATGTTGGACTTGCTTGGCAATTTCCTATTTTATTTGAAAGTGCTATGGTGACTATTTCCAAGCATTTCAACCATCAGTTCTGAGTGCCACTCTCTTCCACTGTGGTTAATTCTAGTGTACAGTCACTTGGGATATCTTCTTTGGATAGCTCCCTGATTTACTTTCCCAGCTTCACTTAGTGTTCCCAAATAGTCTAATGAACAGTATCTCATGCATTTATAATGCTCTTCCCCATCCTGATGCTCAATTTACTGATAATTTACTGCAATTTCTTGGTTCCACTTTCCCTCCACTTTGTACAACAATTTTTCAAACTTATTGAGGGAAAGAAAAGCCAATTTTATAAATACTGGCTAGTCAAGAAAGAAAGCTTGTTAATGAGGAAATAAAATGCAAGGACAATGCAGTAAATTGTGCTATTCGTTACTTTACATTTTGCTGGTTAAATGATGAATACCTGAACCTATGCTGTAACAGTTTTCTCAGGAAGAAATGCTGCTAGGGGTGCCGATCTCTTTTTAAGTCTAACAATATGATGTAGTTTACTGGAAAACTTGATGTATTGCTTCCTTGTCTGCGGTTATAGAATTATGCATTACATTATTCACTACTCAGACCAAAACAAACATTTGCAGCTTTCCCTGGCATAAACAGTTTCTGGTGCTGCTTATGATACATGTTCTGCAGTTAACTTAAAAGTAAACACAGCCAAAGCATAACATTAAGTGCTAATACAGTAATGCAGTCATTAGATTAGATTGCAATACGACTTAATCTTACCTCAGGGGTGTAAAATCTCAAAACCTGCAGGTCAAGCCGTACTTCCCTGTATGTCCTGATACATCCCTTGTGGGGTTCCCCAGATAGGTACGTTCCTTTCCCCCACTTGTGGATCATTTGGTATTTTCTTCTGTTCTCAAAATTCAAAATGCCTCTCTTAAGGCTTAGTCACTGGCAGCAACAACATCAAGCTAAAATATGATGGTGTTTTCTCTACCCTTTTGCCTGTGGCCCCTTTTACTACTACAATGCAGCCCCATAAGCTTCTACAAGTAGAATTTGGCCACCAGACTGAAAGAAATTCAACAATTCTTTCCTAAACAAGTATGGGCAAGATTATAGATATTGTGAAGAAAATGTCCTTTTTCCTTCCTCAAAGTGCAACTATGACTATTTAAAAAGAAATTTCCATTTCACATTAGTATAAGCCTAGTCAACCAGTTTAAGACTCTGTTCAAATGAAACAGTAGCTTTAGGTAGCAATTAATGTTTTAATTCACCCCTGGTTCTTGGGTTCACATAGGTTGTTAAACCTCTGAACAACACGAAAACTACTTATAAATGCCTCATTTGTAGGTTGCTGCAGGAAACCAGAAGTAGTTATTGCATATTGTGCATCACTTTAAAAGCCACCATTACATTTGCACAGTGTCTAGACCAGCTACTAGATCAGCTACTAGGGTTTGTGTGTACCCAGCTGGAATTTTTACTGTTTATTCTTTGAAAGCAGACCACCACCATACCATATCACAATGTTTTTGAAACTTCCTTCATTTACAATCTCCCTTGGAAAGAGTCATCATGGAAAAGCAGCATGTAAATTAAACTTTTGCATGCAGAATTGTTTTCCAGGAACCAAACAAAACATCCGAAGGTCCTGTGAACACATGGCACCAGTGCTATGCTTCTTGGATCCTGACCTTTTTATCTAAAGCTGTTTGCAGTTAAGCATCTAGTTGATTATCAACTAAATGTTATTTTGTATAATCTGTTCGTAGTTTAATGACATTCCCCAATGTATTGCTGCAAGCAGGCATAATTAAACTTATGCAATTTTAATAAAGATGAAGAATGATTCTTTTTATACACGGAAACAGAGTGGTACATTTCAAGCAAAAAGTTTGCTGCAGAAAGCCAACAGTAAGTTGGCAAAAATGCTTTTGGCACCTCAAAGACTAAAGGAATGGCGCTATGGCCCCTTGACATTGCCTGGTGGTAGAGGCATAGAATAATTCAGATTCCCAAATCTGAGGTCAGAGACAGAGCTCTAACCTTGGAATTAGAAAACCATGTGCTTAACATTGCTCTCACTGCTGGGACAAGAAGAACTGTCCTGGCTGCCTCTCTGCAGTCAGGAAATCAACCTCAGAGAGGGGGCATTCTGGAAGACAGGGAGGGGAGAACACTGGGGTTGCCAGATACCCCAAAATGGCCATCTAGTTAAAGGGCAGAGCAGAAAGTATGGAGAGACAAGAATGCCTCCACTGCTGTTCCTGCTCTGCAGGGGATGTTTGCAATCATAGAGTAGTAGGGTCAGAAGGGGCCAGGAAGGCCATTGGATCAACTCCTGCTGGTGCAGGATGCCAGTTCCACCATCCCATTCAGATGACTGTTTAGCTTCTTCTTGAATGTCCCTAGTGTGGAAGAGCACACAACCACTCTCGGCAACTGGTTCCACTGTTGTATTGCTCTGAGAGGAGTTCTTCCTTGTGTCTAGCCTGCACCTGGTGTATTGCAGTTTAAGCTCATTGTTCCATGTCCTACATTCTGGGATGAGTGAGAGGAAGTCTTTTCCGTCTTCTTTGTGACAGCCTTTGAGGTACCTGTAGAGTGCTATTGTGTCATCTCATAG